GAGGGAAACACTGACGTGAGAGAGACAGGTAGATTGGTTGCCTCCTGCATGCACCCCGACCGGGACCAGGGATCAAACCTGCGACCCTCCAGGGTGTGGGCCTGCACTCTAACCACATCAGCCAAGGAGAGAGAAGATATTTTAAGAACAGTGAGTGGTAACAAATATACTTGAGATAACCTTGAACAGTAACTACACCCACTCTGCTCTTCCCTGCCCTCGTGGCCAGAGTCACTTGGGAAGTGTTCCCAGTTTGCTACCAGCTAGTTTGCTTTGAGAATTAGCCGGGCAGAGCACAGCATAGTCCTACTTATGTGGGTGGTAATTTTTACCTTAGATGGATATTTCTGGAAAGGGTTAGACAAATGAATTTAAGTAGCCATTTCACTGGTAATATAAGTAAATTAAGCTATTTATTTTCATATTTAGTTTCCATATGGCCTACCTTATAAAAAATCCCATAACCTGTAGGCCTGGAGTTTTTTGCTGGAATTTTTCTGGGTTAATTTAATTGTCATCCAAATCTGTCTTCATTCTCACCACTTCCATGCTGGGGAGAGCCTCGCCTGGTGAAGGTGGGGAGGACATGTGTTGTTACAGGGAGGAAAGGTGTCCATTTCTGCTCTGGAGCAGCTGTGCTCGCTGTGGGGAGAAAAGGAGGATGCCCTTGTCTGGGAACAAATAGCTGTGGGGGAGCCCGTACTCCAGCCCTAGGGGGCAACTGCATCCCTGGCCAGAAGGTCCCTAGAGTTTGGGAGAATCCTACCGGCCAGGTGATTGACTTAAGTCATTTACATTCATTCTTATCAAATAATCCATGCGATCTGCATACTGATTTAATCCATTTGCTAAATAGAACTTCCTTGATGATTTGGTCAACTGAAAAGAGGTACAGCCCCACCATTTAAACTTTTTGTTGTTGTTTTAAATATATCTTCACTGATTTCAGAGAGAGGAAGAGAGAGATAGAGAAACATCAGTGATGAGAGAGTCATCATTGATGGGCTGCCTCTTGCACGCCCCCGACTGGGGATTCAGCCTGCAACCTGGGCAGGTGCCCTGACCGGGAATCAACTGCGATCTCCTGGATCCTAGTTGGATGCTCAACCGCTGAGCTATGCCGGCTGGGCACAGCCCCACCATTTATTAGCTCTGGGGCACTGGGCAGATCTATTAGCCTCCCTAAGTCTCATTCTGCTCTGGAGAATGCTTCAGATTTTAAGAGTTCTTCGAGGTCACGTGTAAAAACGAGCTCGATGCTCGGCGCACTGCTCCAAAGCTTGGGGTGCTGATCATTCCTGCCAACGTTGTCACCCGTGGAGAGGTCATGGAAACCAGGAGTGAAGACACTTTGGTTCTTGGAGTGGACTCAGATGCTACATTAGAATGTACTTAATGTTAAGTGTGGACAGGTGTTTCTGAAGGAGTATTGTGTTTTAAAGTTTTATTCTGAGAGGAATTTTATTAATTTACTATCTTTGGCAACAGTTATAAGAAATGTATTCTTTAGTTGGTTGAGGAAACTTCCTTCCTAGGGAGTCTTTTCTTGACTCAGATATAAAGAAAATGGAAAGCTATTGGCTTGTACTTCTGCACTTAGTTTAAGTTGTGCATCATTGCACATTTATCTTTTTTTGTTTTGTTTCACATGTGTTTAAATAACAAAGATAAGCTGGTGTTTAATTTAATTAGAACCATCCTAAAAGGTGACTAGTGTTTCCTATACCTTTAAAGTATTTGGTTGAAATATTTTGTAATTTGAAACTTGTTAAGTCTGAGGTTCTTTATTAAGCTAATGCTAAGTAACTTCTAGTAATCTTAATAACGAGTGTCAATGAAGGCACACGTTTAGTTGCCAGTTTGTTGTCCACTTGTGAAGCACACTGGGCTGATCCTTGCAGGGCGACCTGAAAGCTTACCTGCGCAACGAGCACGAGCATGTGCGGGGGGACTCGCGGACCATGCTGCTGCAGCGGATGGCCTGTGAGATCGCCGCGGGGCTGGCCGCCATGCACAAGCTGCACTTCCTGCACAGGTGGGTCCCTCTGCAGGGGAGAGGCCGTGTGGTTCGTCAGAGGCCTTCAAAAAGCTCCAGGAGACAGGCTGCAGAGTCCACTCTGGCTTAAAACGTAGAAGCTGTCCTGTGCCTCCCAGGGTCAGAATAAGGGTACAGTTGGGCTTCATTTAAACCAATACCAGGGAACAGAGTGTCTTAATACAGCCTAAGGTCTAGAAATTATTTCCCAAATTTCAAAGACTGTACAAAGTTGTGCATTGCCCTGCATTGAAAATAAAGAGCCCCAGTCTGCCTCCTGACATCTCTCATGTCCTTGTCATGCCAGCCTTCGGCTCTGGTTCTAGCTGCTAGGTCTCACGGTGTGCCCTATGTCACTTTCCTGGGAGAGGAAGAGAGGACCTGATAGGCCCACATCATCTCTACATAAGGCTATAGCGTTGGTTTCTGGCCAGCATGCCGAGAGCCTGCCCGTGTTGGGTTGTAGGAGGTCATGGGCTGTAAAGTCGAAACCTTTCTGGTCCTACTCACGTAGGCGCAACTCCTCGGAGCACCTTGTATTTTATTCAGATCATTGATATAATTTTCGTAATTAAAACAGCAAACAGCTTTGAGTCCTACCTGAGATAATGGTTCTGTGAACACAGAGGGAGACTTCTGCTTACTCTCCTCTAGCTTTTTGAGCTCTGATTTATGTTTAAAATGTGTTTAAAATTACTTCTCGGGTGTCTTGGGAAACCAGGCAGTGTCTCTTTAGTTGAGTTGAATTAAGTCATTTAACTTAATAATCCAAAGACCTGAAACGGGACACCTGTGTGTATTGCCATGAAGGAATGTCTATGAAATATATTTTTTTAAAGGCAGGTTGGACTGGGATATATTTATCGAATGACTATTTTTCAGAAAATCTTTTCATTGATTTTTAGAGTGAGGAAGGGAGAGGGCTGGGAGAGAGAGAGAAACATTGATGTGAGAGTGAAACATCAGTAGGCTGCCTCTTGCACGCCCCCTACTGGGGGCAAGCCCGCAGCCCTGGCATGTGCCCTGAATGGGAACTGAACCAGCAACCTCTTGGTGCACAGGACAACACCCAGCCAACTGAGCCGTACTGGCCAGGGCGGTAGAGCATTTTTAAAGTTGGAATTTAGAATATTTATTGACTGACTCAAAGTCGGACTTGCTGTATTGGTTGAAAATAGAACATCCCACGTGTCCAGCTGAAAGGTATGAAGTACGTTTGGAAACTGATCTGGTAAAGTACCCCAATACATTTTATTTTTACTTATTGTTAAGGAAAGACCTGTGCCTGGTCTTAGGTAGCCTGCATTTTTGAAGTCAAACACAGGACTTGGTGACATTCAGTAACTTTCAGCTACTTTGCTTGCCATTTGTTACCAGGAATTCGGGTTATTTGGGAAGGCACAGCAGGTAACATTGGGGGTGGGGGTGATTTTGAAATGGCTGCTCATCAGAGCTGAGCTGTTCCTCAGAGCAGTCTTGCTGCTGATGGGTAAACTCCAGGTCTGGAGGGAGTTGAGGACAAGTGGTGATGCCTCCTTGGGAATTGGGGTGGAGACTCTGGAACCGTGGCCTCCCAATTCCTGTGTCTGTCAGCCCCACTCTGGAGGCTGAGTCGCTTGCAGTCACTGACAGCCAAGGCGACAGCAGCGCTGTCAAATGAGGGGAGTGAGCCAGAGCCTTGGGAGAGTCTTTCAGAGCCAGACTGCTTGGCAGCCTCCCCACTAGACCTGTTTTTCAACTTGAAGGAAGAATATACTGGGTATGTTTGTATTTCCTGACCAGAACCAGCATTGACGTCAAGAGTTACCTCTTGTTAAGAAGTTGCACCTTGTGTTTTTCTCATCTTTAGCTTTGCATGCTTTGGGCTTCAGAGAATATTTATTTTTACCGATTTTTAACCAAATTATATCATCATCATCTTGAACCTGGGTAGCACTTCAGCATTTTGAAAACATTTTGTATGTACTTTTATTTTATCCTTATAAAGCCCTCGTGGATTAGCCCTTGCAGGTGCGTCCCTGTTGTTTTTATGAGGCTCTGCTATGTTAAGTGACTTGCCCAAAGTCACACAGTTCTTAAGTAGTGGAGCTGAGACTAGTTCCCAGGTGTGGCTGTAGTGTCTGAATGTTTCGAGTGGAGGAAGGGAGCAGGTTTAGCAGAAATTCCCCCAGTCATACCACTGTCTTCCTCCTCCTCCCCTCTGGTTTTCAGTTATGAGAAGCATCCCTCCTTCCCCTGAGACTATCAGTTGAACTGTATGATACCTTTTACAGTGTGACTCACTGAGGCCTTTTGCTCATAATTTGCCATCTTTTACCGGACCTTCACATTTGAAGTTTGAAATTTGGAATCTAAAGACCTACAGCGACCATGAGTAGGGAGAGGAGGGAGGAAGCGGGCAGTCCAGGAGTTGCTTGAATGGCCTGAGTAGAAGGTGCCAGGGGCTCCAGAGGGGCTCCAGCCAGCCTCAGGCCTGGGAGGACACACGCATGCCCTGTCGGAATGCTGGCACCAGCTTTTAATTCTGGTCTCTGGAGGAAGGTATGGGGCGGTTGAGAAGGGTCTGCTTGTAGAGACTATAGAGATGCTCACTAGTGGTGCGCGGTAACAGAACCTCTGTTGGCAAAGCCTGCACACTGTCCAGCCGCAGCTGTCCGGCCTGTGGGTGAAGCTGCCACCTTAAGGCGCTTTCATGGTTCTGCCCTCAAGTGACACCGCACTGCTCCCTCCCTCACTCCCTTTCCCTTCAGTCCAAAGCACAGGGGCCGGTTCTGCTCTTAACATGGGAAGTTTCTCTGTTGTTTGTAACAGTGGGTGTCCGGGGTGCCCAGACGCATCCACAGGCCTGAGGCTTCTGGATGGAGCTCTGGAAATCACCATGGAAATCACCGCGTGTAAACAGAGACCGTAGAGAGGGATTTAATAGGAAGGTCAGGTCTGCACACGTGTATCCAGGAGCAGCTGTGCGCCCGGTGCTGCCCTGGTGTTAATGTGTCATCGTAGATGGTTGCTGATGTTGAAAGGGTGAACTGCTGCTATCTTGCCAGCTTTGTGACCCTAGCAAAGCTACTTCAGTTCTCTGTGTCTCAGTTTCCCTGTCTGTAAATGGAGAAAATAATAGTACCCACCTCAAAGGTTTGTTGTGAAGATTAAATGAGCTAACAGCCCACATAAAGTACTTAGAGAAACGTCTTGTGTCAAGTAAGTGCTTTGTAAATATTGGCCGTTGTTCTGTAATTGAGTGAGTATTCTGTACCAAGTTGTCATTGGATTATATCACTGTTAGTTATTGCTGTCACCATTCTCATTATGTTTCAGATCTGTGAGCTTTGGGAATTAAAATCTTTGAAAATAAGAATTTAAGAATTAGTTTAAGTTTTTGGTCTTCTGTAGTTGTATAAAGACAAACATTTTAGATTTTGGACTTTTAGAAATTTGGTTTTGGTAACTTTTATTTATGATTTTAAACTATAAATTAGGTATCCTTTTCTCTTTTAATTTACTGGCCTTTTTATTTGTTTGCCAATTGATGATTTAAAAAATTCTAAGGGCTAATGCCAAAATTTTTAAAAAATTAATCTGTTGTCTATATAGGAAGTTCCTTTAAGAAAAGTAATTTTTCTTTTCAAATTATGTGTTTTTGAAAATCAGCTTGTTCTTAATTAAACTATATAAGTAAATTGTGTTAAGTAACTCTTGAAAATATACTCTTTACCTCCCTTGTGGAGAGGCTGAGTTTGGAAGAGATGAGAGTAATTTGAAAAGGGCCTGCACACCTTTGAAATAGGAGTTAAAAAACANTCTTGAAAATATACTCTTTACCTCCCTTGTGGAGAGGCTGAGTTTGGAAGAGATGAGAGTAATTTGAAAAGGGCCTGCACACCTTTGAAAAAGGAGTTAAAAAACATTTTTATTTTTTTTAAAATGTATCTTTATTGATTTCAGAGAGAGGAAAGAAGAGGGAGAGAGAGATGTAGAAACATCAATGATGAGAG